TCCTGGAACAAACTAGTTTGTACCAGAGGAACGTTTGCATCAGACCAAGCTGTTGTTCCTGGAACAAACTAGTTTGTACCAGAGGAACGTTTGCAGTCCTTGTACAGAGGATTGGTCGAGTAGTTGCCGTGTAGAGAGGGAGGGAGGGTGCATGGGTTGGATCATTGTGCAGAATTTGCCGTTGTCGTATGCAGGTCGCTGATGGATATGCTTGGCGGGCGATGCGGCTGTCCTCTGGTGATGTGCCAGCTGCCAGGTGTACATGTAAAGAGCCAACGTGTTCAAGCATGTTCATCCACATGCAGGCAAGACTAGGGTGTGGGACCATTACAATGATGCCATGTGCCGATGCCATGTCAAATCTATATGTTTGCGATATTTGGTCGTCAGCGCTGAGGATGATCATCTGTAATGGGCATCACAGAAGAGATGGTGGGGCTGGTGGCGATGGTGATGCTGATGCTGTTGATGTTGATGTCTTCAGCACCAGCTTTCAACAACTGCCAGACAGGATAGCATGGTATCGTGCTTGTGTGGATTTTTTTCTCTCTTTAGCTCAATCCATGTGCAGGCTGGTTGGAGACACAACATCCTCTGGACTCTGGCATCCGCCCACTCACACGACAGGGCACGTCTGCACGAGTCGGTGACCACTCTCTGGCGCAGGAGGAACATCACAATGCAGACGTGCGCAAGAGGAACTTCACAATGCAGACGTACGCTGGAGGAACATCGCAATGTAGATGTGATGCAGACGAGTGCAGGAGGAACATCACAATGCAGTTGCAGTGCAGACGTGCACATTTGGAACATCACAATGCAGTTGCAATTTCGGACACGCGCAGGAGGAACATGACAATGCCGTTGCAATGCAGATGCGCACAGGAGGAACGTCACAATGCAGTGGCAATTCAAATGTGCGCAGGATTAACATCACAATGCCGTTGCAATGGAGACGTGTGCAGGAGGAACAGCACAATGCGGTTGCTATGCAGACGCACAGAGGAGGTGGTACACAATCAGCAACTGCTCTCTGTATTGCAGAGGCTGTCAAGAATTGTCGCTTGATTGTAATCGCTAGGTCTGGGCTGAGGTGATGTTCGCAGCAGGTGCACGACTGATCCTATCTCAGATGCCAAAGTACCTTTGACAGCTTCCTGCAAAGTTCTGCGAGGTCATAAATTTGCGCACCTCTGTCTCCTTTCCTTGTGTTGCTGGCTTGCACTGCTATGCTGAAGTGCGCTTCTACGCCGAAGCGTTGTTCGATTGACGAGGGTTTCCTTATTTCGTTGACTTAAGAGTTGTTTGATTTGATTGTCCGTTAGAAACAAAGTGCAAATAGAACAGAGCGTTGCTGCAATTTTAGTGATTTGTGAAATGCTACCCCCTGGCGACTTTTTTTTGAAACCATCGAAGCGACCGGGTAAGCGTTCCAGCATTCTGTCGGGAAAGGTTGCCTCTACTTCCAGAATGTGTTTGAGTTGATTTGCCACGAGAAGTGTGCACGATTGGGTAGATGACTAGAGAAGGAAGGTAGCAGTGTTCGCCTGAGTGACACTGGCATGTGGCACAGGAGGTCTGTGAGGGAGGGAGTCGATGAACTTGGCTGCAAGCGTACTTGTGAAACGCTCCATATTTTTTTTTTCACTGGTTCGAACTTCGAACTGGTACCCTGTGTAGCACACCGAACATGTTCGGGTGCTCGGCCGAATGCCTCCTGAACGCTTTCGGTCGAACATATTAAAAAAAAAAAAAAAAAAAAATCTTTATTATTTTTTGAGGTTTTTGATTTTTTACTCGAGTTTGGTTACGAATTTGAGCATACCTCTCAGCCGAAAGTTGTTTTTGTATTATTATTTTACATAACATGCCGTTTTTTGAACTTTTTCAGAATTTTCTGAGTTTTTTTTTTTTTTTTTTTTTTAATATTTATATGTTCACGTTCGAAGGGTTTTGGCGCTCATTCGGGTTTGGTCGCGAACGTTCGGGTTCGGTCACCGAACCCGAACACGATGCTACACAGGTTATAGCAATAGGTTAGTAGAGGCATGGTAGGTAACTCATGCGACACGTCAATAATGCGGTACTAAATTGAGAGTTGCTGATCTTGGAACACACTCATGTAGTGCACAATTCTTCAGCTGACTACTCTCTTTCCCTCAGCTGGCTGCCCCCTTCCTTCCCCCCCCCAATCAGGACAAGACTGGTGGTGCCCCGCTTTCATCTTGGGTTGGTCACCCACCAACTTCCCCTGCCCAAATTGAAGTGATAGTAAAGTGGAACCCATACCCACCGCTAGATGCGTGATCGACGTCTAGCTCAGTTGGTATTGGCCCCCAATGAATTGTTGAAATACAGGGCCAAGTTCAAATCCAGATGCAATCAGACGAACCGAATAATATACTTCTGAATTACCTGGGGCAGGTCGGTTCAATGATGATATCTCGAAGCCGTTGCCCTGCAACTTTCAAGGGAAGAAAGATATGTGATCGGTGTCCGTTCAGTTTCAATGATGAAGGCAGCACTGCAGTTTTGAGGCAGCTTCATAAGGATGGTTGGAAAAGTACACGCCGGGGGTGAGAGAGTTTTTTTTGGGTTTAAGGCGCAGCTTCATAATTCTATCTGGAGGACAAGCAGCAGGAGGAGTGTTTAAGGCACTGTGGGAATGTGTCGCTGTCGTTAAGTGCCATATATCTGGTCTATTTTAGCGAAGAAGACAATCCTGAAAAAGTGAAGGTGGGTGAGCAGACATGGACCTCTCTTGGGATGGATGTACCTTACGGGATCCTTGGCTTTGTAAGGAGTCACGACCTTCCGGCGGCGTCATTTGCAAATCGTAGGCTGGTAGGTTAGAGTGACCTTGGCTAAGGAAAATCTCGAACGAGGATCTCACTTGGCCTCTGTATTATTTGATCATTGGAGAACAATATTCGCCAATCACAAGAGGTATCTTATCTTATACAGGAGGGAAAACGAAATGTGGTTGAATAATCTCGAATTTGTTTTTGTCTCCAACGGTACATACAGATTGAGTACTGGTTGTGCACTGGTGAGGCTTTTTTTCGAGGCCGTCCATCGTTTTTCTGTATTTTTTTGGTGCACCCCTGCTTTATGCTGCATGGGCGCAGGAAACAAGTGAAAGGTGCAAGTAGGTAGCATGGACAAGTCGGGGAGCGCGGGCAGGAGGTCGGCGGGGGGGTGCTGAACTCTCAAAAGCCCATATGGGGACCTATGTCGGAAGTACCGTGCTGCCCTGAACTGGAAGCGATGGGACAGATGAAGTCAGAACGGACACAGACTACATTTGGGAACTGAACCTGTCCCGTCCGTCGGTTCCAGTTTCAAATCGAATGCCCACCTCTCCCAAGAGCTGTGGTCACTTGACAGGGTGGCCTTTCCTATGGCAGCCAAGCCTAACCCAGTTGTCTGTTTTCGCCCGGAGTTGTGGGCATTCGATTTACCCAGGCGGGTCACTTGACAGGGTGGCCTTTCCTATGGCAGCCAAGCTTAAACCACCAGTACTTGGCCCAGCTATCGGCTGCGGAAAAAAATAGAGTAGAAACGTTTCTAGTTGGATGAATTTGGGCGCTCCTGTAGTGGCCCGTACGTTTCCTAAAATCGCATAGTGTTAACGCTACGGGACTTTAGGAAGTACTGGTGGTTTTAACCCAGTTGTCAAGTGCGGGTCAACCGAAACATTACTTGTCGATGCTTGGGTGAGAGTGCTGCTCGGTCAATCTGTTTCTACATTCTGCCAGGATCGATATACTCCAACACCTTGCCTGTGCCTCTCTTCCTTGTTTAATTAGCATAAAATCATATTAAAATGTGGATGGAGAAGAGGGTGGGATGCGGCTGGAATTGCAGCGATCTGGGGTGTTGTAACCAGACCCGCTGGCGGTTACTGTTGACGGAGAGGGTTCAAAGTTGGTGTGATGGCAGAGATCTGGGGTGTGGCAGGTGTCCACTTGCAAAGGTTGTGAACATGATGTGCCATTAGTCTTTTTTTTTTGGCGGGCTGCTCCAGCTATTGGTGGGGAGCGGCACCTGCTGGAAACTGGGGATGTGCCATTATTCTAACATCGCTTGCTGGCCGTTGTGTGGGAGCGTGACATCCTGTTTGTTGGACAGGGTTCGAAGTGGACGGAAGTGCAGAGATGTGGGGTGTGTGAACATGACGTGTCGTCATTCTTAACATCGCTTTCTGGCTGTTTAAACCACTAGTACCTCCGCCAGTGTTGGGAAAATAGGGAAACTCCTAAAAAAATGGAGGCTGGGCCCAACGACGGCTGCCATCGATAAATCTGATCGGCGGCTCTCGTTTCGTTTCGACCTCCTAAGAGGTCGGAGGCGCACCCGAGGCCCGCTGTTTTCCCACTCGGCAAAGTTACTAGTGGTTTAAGAGGGACCGTGGCATGTTGATGGTGGAGTGGATGGGATTGCAGTGATGTGGCGCGTGGTGCGCCGCCGCCTCCTATAGTGAAGGTTGTGAATGCGACTGACGCAACCCATTCACGTCGTTTGCCGCTTCGAGAGTGGATGGCAGATGTGAGGATATAATCGTTAATCATGCGACATGCCAATTAGTGACAGATGCAGAATACTTGCTACGCATGATACGTTGGAGGGGCAAGAGAGGAGAGGAGATTGGTGAGGGAAGAATGGTGGAAGGAAGAAGGGAGAGGAAGGTCGAAAGTCTGAGGAAGTGCGGAAGGAGGAACGCTTGAACGGAATGAAAGAAAGAAGAGTGCCCAGGAAGTGTCAGACAACAAGGAGAGCAGGACACGGTAAAGAGCAGTGAGGCCCGGCTCGGAAGACGAAGGGAGAATCAAATGAAGGTGCGATCAATACCCTATCACATGTAATGTTTTTGTGGTTTTAAGACTTGAACGAGTCTTGAAGGGCATGTTCACACTAGTGATATTCCCAGATGCCTCTCTTCATAATTACGCACAGATTCGGCCAGGTATCGGAAAAGTGCCGGAGTGAGGAAGCGCCCTTATAAACTCAATTGCTGATTCCAGATATTTCCGAATATTCTGCTTCTTCTGGGATGCAGGCTGATTGCTCCCTTTTTTGGGGGAAAAAGAGGGCGGCAGTGCCGACTGCTTCTTTACGTGTTCAGACTCCAGAGTGTTCATTAATGTTTGCACAAAGATACGTTTGAGAAAATGCTGTGCCTGTATTGTAGTATTGTTTTTTAGTATTTGAGTCAAAATTTGACTGAATTGTTTTAGTAATATAGCGAAGTGAGACTGACATGCAATATGATCGAGGAGGTTTCTCTGCGAGAGGTCACAGCCTAAACGATTTATTTATTTATTTTTGTGTAAAGTTCTAATGAAATGCAACCTGGGATTTTTTTTTTTTTTTACACTTCTGGTGTTCTGTTCACCTAAATTTTAAAGATGAGTTTATGATGACATATAACTTGCAAGTTGTTACGTCTTTTTTTTGTTTTTGTTTTTTTTAACAGGACTGGTCCATGGGGGCTCGGCTCGGGTCCATATATTGTTTGTTTTTCTGGCCAATCAGACTGGTCCTTAGCGGCCCGGGTCCATATCCTTTTCTGGGGAGTATCAGTCTGGTTCCTATAGCTTTGTGACCATCCAGCATGGCTGGTTAAGCGGCTTAAGCCCTTTATGATGATGCTCCCTATAAACTTGTGACCATCCAGCATGGCTGGTTAAGCGGCTCAAGCCCTTTATGTACGGTTAAGCCCTGGTTAAGCCCTTTTATGGCATATGAGCCACTATTCTTCCACTTTTTGTTTATACTGCATTTCAAGGAAAGGAATATGTATTTCCCTATAACCTATTAACTTGCAATTTCTTTATTTTAGTCAGATGTAATCCCATCTGTTTGGGAGGTCATTTCCAGGGATAAAGAGTTTTTTTTTAACTTCTCCCCTCCCCCCACCCTTCCCCCCCCTTCCCCCCACCCTCTTGTTTCCTGTTTATCTCAAAATGGTCAAAGATATCTGGGCTACCCAGTCAGGAGCACCAAAATAGGACGACTCGCATGGAGAGGATGGAGAGAGGTAGGGAAAGGACTTGTGACGCTGTTTTGATATGTGTGCTTGGGGGGACGAAGACCACCGCAATGGACTTGTTGTGACACTGGTTTGATATGTGTTTGGGGGGATGAAGACCGCCGCAGTAGCATCACCGCATGTTGCAGCGACGATATGCCTAGAGAACACTCAGAAAAGAGCTTGCAGCCAGGTCTCTGGGTGGAAGGAATGCAAACACGCAAAGGCGTCAAAGCTCAGGAGGACGAAGGGCATGAAAAAGTACTAGACTGAAAGAAAGGCCACAGAATGGAAAGCGAAAAACACAAGGATCGTGACTTGCACCGGCTGATGAGGAGGGTGAACCTTCAACAATCTGCTGAATCCCCATATTGATGTTTTGAGTCGTGAACTTCTGTAACCTCTGTGGTAAGAAGACATCACAGCAAGGCAAGCTCGAGGCAACAAGGCACTGCACAGGTACATTGGCTGGAGGGCAGGGGGAGGTGGGATTGAGCAAACAAACAACAAGGCAAGCAGCAGCGCGGCACTATGAGGAGCAGGCCACAAGGCAGCAACAGAGCGAGAGGCAATAGGGAAGCCAAATGACAAGGTAAGCAGCAGTGCGATCCGATGAGCACCGGCCAACAAGCAGCAAGGCAAGCTTGAGGCAACAAGGCACTGCACAGGTACGTAGGCTGGAGGGCAGGGGGAGGTGGGATTGAGCAAACAAACAACAAGGCAAGCAGCAGTGCGGCACTATGAGCAGCATGCCACAAGGCAGCAACAGAGCGAGAGGCAATAGGGAAGCCAAATGACAAGGTAAGCAGTAGTGTGATCCGATGAGCACCGGCCAACAAGCAGCAAGGCAAGAAGGCTGTGAGGCAACACGGTAGCGACGCACAAAGCAGGCAGGCACGGCAGGGAGGCAACAAGGCAGCCAAACAACAATGCAAGCAGCAGGGCGGCACTATGAGCACCAGGCAACAAGGCAGCGAGGAATTAGCAGCGTCAACAAGGCAGCCAAACAACAAGGCAAGTAGCAATGTGACTGGATGAGCAGCGGGCAAAATGACAGTGAGGCACAAAGGCAGTGAGCAAACAGTGCGCAAGGTACGAGGTGCGGCAAGGCAAATGGCAGCGAGGCACAAGGAAAGCAGCATGGAAGACAGTGAGGAAACAATGTCACGTGAATGCACAACGAGACACAAGACACGACAGCGGAAGACAGCAAGTCAAAAGACAGCCAAGCGACAAGGCAAGAAGCATGGAAGGCAGTGACGAAACAATGCACAAAGGCACAAGGCACAAGGCACAAGGCAACGAGGCAAAATGCAGTGAGGGCAACAAGGCAGCAAGGCATGAAGGCAGCAAGGAAACAATGGGCAAGGCACACGACAGTGAGGCAAACAGTAGGGAGGCAAAATGCAGCAAGCGAAAGGCAGTGAGTCAAAGACAGCAAGGCAAAAGGCAGCCAAATAACAATGTAAGCTGCATTGAAAGACTAGGCAAGTGGATGGGCAGCAAGGCAGGGAGGCAGCACGGGACAAGGCAGTCCACACAACCAACTCGACCAGACCAGCCCATCATCTACTCATACCCCAAGTAGAACTCAGCAGACTGTAGGTTCACTCTGCCACCGAAGCGAGGGGGTCAGCTCAACAAAACGTCTGTTATCAACCAGGCACCACACAGACACAGGCATCCCGAACTCAGAAGCCCCCCTAATAGTGTTGCAGGCACTCCAACGAACAGCCATTGACTATCAGCGGCGTCTCAGAGGTCCTCACTCAGACACAAAAGGAAGAATACTTGGAATGAAGAGAAGAAAGAAGATATACATGCATATGATTGTGTGTGTGTGTGTGTGTGTGTGTGTGTGTGTGTGTGTGTGTGTGTGTGTGTGTGTGCTGTCATGTTCACTATACACAACTCCATAGAAAAAGCATGTCTGTCCCAGGCTGTTTTATTGAACTTCCAGCGACTCGTAAGGAGGCTGAACCCCGATGGTCTACCCAGGGTGCAGTTAACTGATGGGTGAGGAGAACTAAGGACTCGCCATGTCACCCAGAGTTAGCGATACCTCTGAAAAAACTTCAAAAAAGTGGTCGCCGTTACTCAAACCACCCGGCAATCCTAGCAGACTGTCGGTCCAAACCCCTGACAAGAACAGCAGTCAGTCTGAGAAATTAATCTGTCACAGCCATAAAACCCACTCTACACGAGCACCTCGCCATGGATACCCACTGACATGACCGCTAGTATGGTCCCGACACTAGCCTCATCGACCTGCCTGAGCAGAGAGCTTAGCAATGTCGTGCTGTGTCTTCTCTTTTTCGTCATACATGCAGCTCCATTGTGTGTGTCTGTGTATGTGGAGATGGGTGTGAAACAGATTTACGTCAATCCCCAGCGTGGTATCATGCACCATACCATTGCATCACACCAGGAGGAAAATACTCATTGGGGTGAGGTGAGTGAGAGGACAACCGTCAACGTTATTATTATACAACTAAAAAAAAAAAGGCAAAAGCAGTGGGGCAAAGAATGGCAAGGCAGAAAGCCACAAGGCAAAAGGCAGCAAGCCAAAAGGCCGCGGGCCAAAAGGCAGCTAAGTGGCCAGGCAAGCAGCACGGGAAGACAGGACGGCAAGGCATAAGGAAGTAAGTCAAAATTACAGGACGGCGAGCCGGAGTGCTCTGTTTTTCTGAAAGAAAAAACAGCTACACAAAGGGCAGGGAGGCGAAGGCGCTGGACAACAAGTGATGTGCCTCGGCTGGAGCGCACAGGGTAGGCAGGTGGTCAGACAAACAGGGTAAGACGGGGAGGGAAAAAAAGGTAGTGACTCGTGAGCCAAAGGGCAGCAAGGCAAAGGCAGCGAGGCAAAAAGCGGCAGATAAGAAATATAGAAGAAGAAAAAATAAATAAGAAACAAAGACTCGAAGAGCGAAAAAAGCTAACAAAAACGGATGATGACATAGTGTTTGGAACTTTGGCTCACGAGTCTTTGTTGGAAGTGGACTGACTGCAGGCAATACCGCAAACGAAATATGGCAGCAAGTCAACGACTCACGGAAGCGCCAGGCAATGCTAATGGTGCAGCCCAACTGCACAACACAAGAAGCTAACTGTGTGGAGTGGCAGCGCAAGCGGATGAGCAGCAGGGCAACCTGGCAACAACACAGCGAAGCACAGGGCGACGCTGACAAAACAGGCAAACTATGCGGCAGGCAAGCAAGGTAAACAGAAAGACAAGTCACACAGAGGGGCAGCAAAGCAACAATTCAGCAAGGCAGAGGACAACATTTACAAGCTAACCACACTACACGGCAAACAGACAAGCTGCAAGGAAGGGCAGGGCAAGTGGGTGGTCAGCAAGGCAGCAGAGAGGAGCGCAGACAAGGCAGTCGGCACATCCAACACAGACCGGAAAAAAAAAAAAAAAAAAAAAAAAAAAAAAAATCCATCACCTACTCCACCAGCAGTTGAGCCCCGCAGTCCGTTGGTTCCCGCCGCCTGCTGATCCAGGAAGCCAATACGACGAACATCTGTCATAAGCCATGGAATGGTTCCCACATACAGCACTCCAAACAACCAGCCACCGACAATTTAGCACACATTAGAGGTGCTCACATAGATAACAAAAAACACACACATACATAAAACTGATTGTGTGTGTATGTGTGTACTTTCCAGATTACCCAGATCCGAACATAACCAAGGTAGCCTTACATGCCCTATGCGCCCGTGTGGTTGAAAACAGAACAAAGAAATGGACAGCACCCAAGGATGCTCAACAGAGTAGCAATACACTGTTTCGTCGAACTTGCACTGGCTCATCAGGAGGCTGAACCTTTGACGCGCTGCAGGACCCCGTCACAATGCTTGTTAGTCATAACCATACTTCAAACTCTGTTGCGGATGGAAAGGAAAACATACAGCACAACATAGGGCATATTCACACTAGCGCGTGAAATTGTGAAATCGTGAAATTTGTGAAACTTTTACGGTCACTCGTTCGTCGTATTGTGCAAAGTCACGTGTGTGGGTACGTATTTATCAGCGGCTTGGGGAGCCACGGGCAAAATACGTACTTTTTTATGTGATTACTTTTCGCGTTCGCTATCATTTTTTTGTGGATTCCGCCATGTGACTGCGCGGTGCGTAAATTCGCATTTGGAGGACTGGTCATGGTCGTGTCTTTCCTGTTTCGTGCTAGATGCGGGAGAGCAGTGTGACCCGGCGGTGCCCAATAATCGCAAAACTGCCAACACAAAATTTGCAATTTTACGTGCTAGTGTGAGTAGGCCCATCGACAGGGCAACATATAGCAAAGCAAAGTAGGCAGG